GTTTTTATGATAAATGTACGACTTTAATGTGAAACAGTCAGTTTTTTCTCTTGTTGTGTTTGTTTGAAGCTGCTTCCTGTTGGCTTCAACTGTTTGGAGTTTCCATTTTCTAAACTTTTGCATTCTGAAACGTCTTCAGCTCTGAACACATTATGAAACACTGAATGATTTCAAGCTCACACTTTGTCTAATAAACTTACATCTTTCAATCTTTATACAGATTGATGGACTGTAGTTTGTCAGACAGCTGTGATTATCTGGCAGCAGCGCTGAAGTCCAACCCCTCCCATCTGAGAGAGCTGGACCTTGGCTACAACAAGCTGCAGGATTCAGGAGTGAAGCATCTGTGTGGTTTTGTGGAGAGTCCAGGATGTGGACTTAAAACTCTGAGGTCAGTCACCATGTTTTAGTTGTGCTGAGATGAATATGATGTGAAAGTTGTGCTGACACTAAACTGCAGACATAAAGCTGATTTTATACTGGCCTGCCGACCTTTCCTAATTCAGAGAGAGGGGACCCTGATTAACTGTGTAATGTTAGAACTTCATAGTTCTAAGTATCAGACACAACCATGAATAATCCACAGCTGACTCTCTTTAGCAGGTTAAAGGTTACGGCACACAGCAATCTCTGAAATACAAACAGTTTGAAGCAGCAATTATTGCACATTTACAAACTGACACTGGTGCACGGCATGCTGGGTAATGCTAGCTGGTCAGGTATGGGTGTGTTAATGGGTGTGAGAGGCTCTGTGGCTGCAGAACATTGAAAAAGAGAAAAGAGAGATGGAGGATGAAGAAAAGAGGCAGAGATGAAGCCGAAGTTTCGCTGCAGAGAGGAGCTGAGTCTGTGTGGGCGGAGCTGCCTGAGCGCCGCCCACACAGTGACCATGAAGCAGGTGAAGAGCAGACAGGATTTCATATGCTGATGTACAAACACATAGAATGATGGTGGCAGCTACAGAGACAGGTCCATACAGACTGAAGCATGTCTCCGTTCCTTTGCATATTCCATATTTTATGCAACAGTTTCAAGAAGACAAACATCAAATATGCCTCCAAACATGTGACGAGTCAGACTGACAACATTTCTACAGAAAACAGTGTGAGCTTTCAGCAGGTCACTGCAATAAGAACTACAAACAGTGCAGCAAGAAGGACTAAACCCACTAACAGTCTGATATCCCCGTGTTCCTGTTGTTCTACAGCATCATCATTAATGCTGCTCCACCACCATCACTGCAGCTGACCAATCAGCTTCTGTCACGTCACGTGATGCTCTGTGACTCAGGGGTAAAAGACTGGAGAAATGCTAAATGGCTAACCTGAAGCTAATCTGAGAAACAGTCAAAGTACTGATGATTCCTACAAAGTGTGTGTGTGTTCAGTATGAGATGAGCTTGGTAGTACTGTGTGTGCACAGATGGACTCCACAGGACATCTCCTTTATGAAGAAACTGTCAAAGTTTGTCCAACAGTGGGAAACATTTCAGAGAATATCTCAGAGAATATCTGTGAAGCAGAAGCTAAACATAATAATAGAAGAAAAACAAAATAATGAGCCAAATCCTGCTCTGAGCCATCCTTTAAACATCACTATCAGACAGTAAAGGCTTCCAAAGACTGCTCAACTCTCACACTTAGTTAAAGATGCTGGTGCTGTGCTGTCCACAGATCAGCTGACCTGCTGGGTCTCCATGATCAGCTTTGTTTTTTGGAGATAAAGGCTGAGCCCTTTAGAGCTTTAGTTCTCCAGAGCAGCAGAATGTCTGAAGTCTGCAGAAACACAAAAACACAGCAGCTAAAAATAGTTGTTCAAAGAAAACGAGGGGGGAGCTGCTGATTCCTGAGCTTTGATACTGGATTTGCTTCAGTAGTTATTCCAATCACTGCTGTAGGAGCTACATTTAGTCACAGCTGACTATCTTCTTTGAACAACCAGAATGACTACTGTTGTAAAAACAAGCACACGAAGAACCAATGAGAGTGAAGAACAGGATAAAGAGCTCCTGTGATGGTGGCAAAGAAATAAGCAGCAGACGCCCGTCTACATGTTGTAGCGGTTCACAGTCACCAGGGGGCGCTGTCTAAGCCATGCAGTCAGTCGGCTGCTCTGCTTGTGCTGTTGTTGGTGAAGCTGAAGTCAAAGCGAATGTTAAAACAATGAAAAGTGTCCACTGCAGCCTCCATCTGAGCTTCTCAGGCTCTTCTTCTTTTATCCTCCATGTTTGTGCTGAATGCTGCTGCCGCTCTCTTCTCTGTTCCTGCCCACTTTCCAACCAATGAGCATTGGAGCGCCCACAGCGTTGTCCACACTGAGCTTTCTTGTGGGCGTGGAGAATCGTCTGCAGAACATTTCCAGTACAATAACCAGCCATGCATGCGCCCCCAGCACCAGCTTCAACCTCACCTTAGAGAAGTTTAACAGGAAGGACGACTCGGCCATCATGCGTCCAGCTGTCCATGACCTTAATGCTAGCATACGCACATGAAGCTAATACCACTACGAGCAGCTGCTCAGTGGATTTGGAGGAGAAATGTCTCCAGCTTTTCACAGGCAGTATGCAGAATGTGGATATCCAAAAGACTGGAGAGCCCGTCCCAGACTCTAAATCCACACTTGTCTGCACAAAACTTCTCACACGTTCCCGTCACAAGATTCTGAGTGAATCTACCAGGTTCATGTCCAGCTTGTTTATCTTGCGCTGCAGTAGATGAGTGATCCTTCCTCACAAAGCAACACAGACACCAGATATGCAAATACAGCATCATACAACACAAGCAAGAGATCCAAAGAATCCTCTCTGCATTTCTGTGGCTGATGGTGCTGGAATGAAGCTGTTTGAAACCTTGTTTCACAGTGTGACTTTGTCTAATAAAGTTACATCTTCCTTTCTTTATACAGATTGATTGAGACTTTATATATAAGTACAGTCGGCTTTGGCCTTTTTTATACAGGTGCATGACCAGTCCAGTTTTTTGTCCACTCATACCCCGAGGTACTTGTATGTGTTGACCACCTCCACCTCCTCTCCCTCTAACTGAACTGGCAATGGACTTGGTCAGACCTCCCAAAGTCCACAACCAGTTCCTTGGTCTTTGACGTGTTAGTTGCAGGTGGTTTGTGTGACTCCATGTGACAAAGTTCCTCACCAGACTTCTGCACTCCTCTTCCTGATCATCCCAGATACACCCCATGATGGCTGTGTTGCCTGCAAACTTCTGAATATTGCATAATTAGGAGTTATAGCAGAAGTCAAAGGTGGAGAGGGGACAGCCCTGTGGTGCTCCTGTGCTGCTGACCACAGTGTCAGACGTGATGTCCTTCAGCCTGATGTACTGTGGTCTGTCAGTGAGGTAGTCGGAGATCGAAGCCACCAGGCAGGGGTCCACCCGTATCCTGTTTAGTTTTTCCTGGAGCAGACAGGGCCGGATTGTATTAAAGGCACTCGAAAAGTCAAGAAACAGGATCCTGATCATGCCTTTTCCCTTGTCCAGGTGTGAGTGGGCTCTGTTTAGGAGGTACAGGATGGCATCCTCAACACCCACATCTGCCTTGTAGGTGAACTGTAGTGGATCCTGGGCATGTTGTACCTGTGGTCAGAGGAGGTTGAGGAAGAGCTGCTCTAGAATCTTCATAAGATGTGACATCAGTGCCACCGGTCGGAAGTCATTCAGCTCATTGGGGACCGGGATGACGCGGGATGTCTTCCAGAGGGCGGGCAATCTCCCCAGTTGCAGGCTGAGATTGAAGACTCGCTGTAGCGGCTCCCCAAGTTCAGCATCACATACACTCAACAAAAATATAAACGCAACACCTTTGTTACTGCTCCCATTCCCCATGGGATGGACGTAGAGACCTAAAATTCATTCCAGATACACAATATAACCATCCCTCCCAAACAGTGGTCACAAATCAGTCCAAATGTGTGGTAGTGGGCACATC